AACACACTTTCCAAAATTTTTCTCACAACTGATGTAAGACTAATGGGTCTATAATTACTGAGACAATTTTTATCACCTCCCTTTAAAAGAGGAGTTACATTAGCTAACTTCCAATCCTCTGGTACCTGCCCACTATTCAAGGAGTGACAAAAAATAGTAGCAAGTGGCTCATATCCAATCTTTAACCTACTTCAAAACCCTTGGGGAAATATTATCTGGCCCAGGAGCCTTATCATTTTTTAAACTTCCCAATTTTTTCTTAACTAGCTCAGAATTAATGCAGTCATCTTGTTTGATCTTGTTTCCATTTACATAAAAGGCATGCTACTCTTCTAGTCAACAGTGATCACATACAAATGGTGTCAGTACTACTGACATGGTATTTAGGTATACTGATGTCCATCAGAAAGTTTTAAGTATCAACAATACAACAGGATTTAGAAATGTAATGTAGATAATAACTTCAAATATGAACAGCAAAGAACTGAATCAACAAACAAACACAATATACAAAAACTCTATTCATGCAATGAACACTGTTGGGATCTATACCTATACTGGCAAGCTTCTATGTTCTATACTAAATACAACTGACTGTTGTAGCAAGTTAGAAGTGCCTTTATACAAACTGAAGACAACAAAATAATCGTCAGACCAAATTCCTAGTAAAGTATCACACAATCTGAAATTACTTGTGATCATTCCATTGTATAATACATATCCGAAGCAGATCAATAACTCATAATAACGTTTATCACCCCTCAATCAAGTATAAATCTTACAGAACAATTACTGTGATATGTAACCTTTGTATAAGCTACAATATTAGCACATGGTTATGACATTCTTACATCCACTTTACAGGGATGTATAGACATCCTTATAAAGTGGATGAAGGAAGGTCTTATATATGCATGAAAATTGAAAAAAAATACATGAACATACTTAAATAAAGATATGCTCTTTGATATTTATGGAAGGGTGAAAATTGATTATTTTCTTAATCATCACACTGGTAGTACATCATCATATTAATTTTGTGACTTCTCTGATACCAACTTATTATATATGTGTTTTTTCACTGCTATTTGTACAACATTATCACATAAAGTTGTGCCACTATTCTATATCTATATACTCTTTGTCACTATTTTTGTTTTCAAGTTATCACAAGTTGACCAAAAACAGTTATATAATCTGTTTTCTTGAATTTTTGTACAATTAGCTTGATTACAGAATGTTTCAAACATCTTTATTTCATATTTTCTAACTTGTATAAGTTTACCTTCCTTAAATAGTAAATACATTTTATAAATGTATACTATGTTTTAGTTATTGTATGCTATTTCTATCAGTTAAAGAATCAGCATTTTACATTTATGGGCTGCTCTTTTCTCTGTCTGCTCTTGATGTGATAACCTTTATCCCCAAAATATTAGTAGAAATACAGCAGTGTTTAAAAATACTGTAGAAATCTATAGTAAAAATGTTTTATAAATATTCATCTTCTGTCACATCACATTTGATGAGCAACAATAATTTTTTCAAGTGAGAAACAAAAATGCTGAGTGATTTCACTTTACCTGATGAATAAGTTATAAAAGCTAAAAGTGTAAATCATTTTGGTCTAAATATACCATCAAGTAACATCAGACCACACTACTATGTTGCAGACATCAACATCATCCAATGCAAAGTGACACCATATACTTGTCCTCAAAAGCTGCATCTTGCAGTGGTTGGTGCAGGAACCCTCCAATTTTTGCATTGGAACCTCAAACTCAAGCCTGGTGGAAGCTTGAGTTAGTTAAGAAAAAATAAAATGATAATGATACAGTTTTGAGTTGAAGTATTCAAAATCAGTTGTGATTTCCATCATGAATATTAAGCCTTTTAGTTTTAACTTTTTATAATCTTTCAGTGTCCAACTCCATAACAAGAAAATTTTTATACTACTTATAGTTGTTGTCATAGTCCAGCCCAGTAGATCAGTGCTGATTGACAAGAACAATATATGTTGAATTCTGTTTTCATACACATCTTATTTGAAATCTGTAATGCACAAACTAAGAGTAATGTGGGAAAAAAATTTGTAGGGCAACATGATTTTACTCAAGAAATATATGCTAGGCTGGCCATAAATGACATCAGTACTAAACTCACACACTTAAACACAAGTTGCAATGTAAACAAGTAGCCTGTTGGCAATTAGCTGAAAGAAAAATATAAAACATTTTTACTATAGATTTTTACAGTATTTTTAAACACTGCTGTATTTCTACTAATATTTTGTGGACAAAGGTTATCACATCAAGAGTAGCCCATAAATGTAAAATGCTGATTCTTTAACTGATAGAAATAGCACACAATAACTAAAAACATAGTATACATTATTGAATAACTAAGTTTACATTGATGTACTCTTGAAGGGCATTAGTATTTTAAACTAATTTGATCAAGGGTTTATGTACTATTAAGGGCCACGAGTCAGAAATTAGATCATTTTCTATGCATACCACCAATTGATAGTAAAACTAATTGTAGTTGGAAATGAAATTTTAGAGCCCCTGTAAACACTACAGTCAGAAATGATACTGTCACTGATGTTTTTTAAAATTCAGATCAATTTAAATTTAACAAGGATAAATAAATATCTCTTTACTAATAAGGAAGGAAATTTTGTGCATCCTATGCAAGCATATGTGCACAGAAGATTTGCTAACTGTAACAGGATCAAATGAATCCAAGTTAAAGGCCAGTTCAACCAAAACTAACAAGTAAAAAAAGTACAAAGTTTATATGTAAAAGATTCATACAGAAAATTGTGTAATCCGAGATATTTATCAGTTATTTTTACCAACAACTACTAATATGTCCTTATAACACAGGAAAGGAATAATTTGGAATATACATCACCTTTTCAGAAAAAAATGCATGATTTATATTTTATTGACATTTTTTGCTCATTTTATGTGTTTACCTTCTCCCACATTTCATAATGATCAACCAAGGACTTCAGTTTCTGTGCTAGTTCACCATTTTCTTCTCTCTGTTTTGAATAACGTTGTTGGTTGTCTTGCATTAGATTCGTAATGTCATTCAACGTTGCCTGGAACTTTCCTGCTACTTCTTTTCGTTTTTCTTCTTCTTCACGGATTCTTGAAAGACTGTCTTCCTATTACAAATGTTATGAAATCCATATCATATGAAAGTAAGTATACAAATCAATTTTAAACCCAAGTTTAAAAACAGTCCTGCTTTTGCCTCACTTTAAAACTTTTCTTTATCATTGTTACTGAGATAACCAGCCATACATAAAAAAACACAAACACATATATCTGTATTTATCTTTTACATATAGAAGGTTGAGTAGCTTTTATTAAACAATTCAGAATATGCAAATCATCAACTGACATCACAACAACATGTGATATACAGTCACAGCTGAATGTTATGTATCAGAACTACATAGCGATTGTTTGTTATTTTGTAGGTAGTGTGATGCCACTAAAAATTTTTAAAAAGGGTATGTAACAGCTCTTTTTTCAACACAAAATACTCAGATCAGGTATTTAGAATTGAACTTAATGGTATTGGAAAATATAAGAATATAAATAAATCAGGGGCACAAGGACCATTCAGAAAGAGACCTGTTACAAGACTTACCTCAGCCATGGTAAGCAAAGTGAGGTGTCTTGTAACAGATGAAAATTCACAAACACAAAGGCCATTGCTAACAGTAGTTTATGTGCTCCATGCAACAGTATGCAATATAAAGAACGATCTTCACCTAGAAAAGCAACACAAATTCCTTCCATGATGTATTCATTCAACCATTGCAGACCTCAAGCAGCTGGAGAATGAAATGGGTACTCTTGCTATCCCATATGAAGACATACTGGTCAAGTCACCAGATGCAGCATTTATGAATTTCTGTGTATTCTGGTGATTGATAAGGGCTCTGGGAAATCAACTTCCTTGTACATTACATGGATTATGGAAAAAATCAGCAAGAAATGGCATGCTTTGGACATGACAGCCTTATAATGGAAACTACATTTAGGACTACAGTCATGATGCACAGTCATCAAATACAGCATAACAAAATGTGGTGAGGCTCCAAATTCATTTTAATATAATGTACTCAACCTCTGTAGTTGATATAAAACATTAAAACTTGTCTCTGCCTGAACAAAAAGTTAGAAGTGCTTCAGAAACAACTAGGAGAAGTATTCTACTCACACATTAAAATAAGTAAACCTTAAACAGTAAATGGAGGAAGAGAAACTTCAGAAGTAAATAGAAGTAGCTTTTTGGAAAACAAAAGGAGGAAGAAGGAGTAAATGGGAGAAGTACCCTTCTCAGATATAAAAGGTGGTGGTGGTAGAAAGCATATAGGAGGACACAGTTTATTTGGATATTGGGGACATCAAAATGCACAGGCTGTCCAAATTTATTGGAAATAAAACCAGTTATTTCAGCTGATTAAAGGTTGACACATATATACTCTGTGACACACTCCATGGAAATAAGTAAACTTTCTGAGTAGAAGCACACTCAGCAGAGAAACTAAAATAAGGCAGTTAATCCTACAACAGCAGTAATAACAACAACAAACATGGCAAAAACTGAGCCATCAGGTATTATAACCTAATGAAATAATGCAAGTATGCTTGAAGATGTGAGAACTATACCCACATATCATACGTATGAAGTGTAGTAATCTAAGGTCAAACAAAATAAGATTCCTTGTCCAGGCAATACTCTACTAGAAGAACAACAAATCAATAAAAGGAGAGAAGCTTCCCTATCTATGCAATGTCCTACCACACGAATGACAAATCAATAAAAGGAGAGAAGCTTCCCTATCTATGCAATGTCCTACCACATGAATGACAAATCAATAGAAGGTGAGAAACATTTTGCCAAGAAGATGTCCTACTACAAGAATAAGAAACCAACAAGTGGGAGGAACTTCCCTGTCTAAGTAATATCCTGCTACAACAACAAGAAATCAATAAAATAAAAGTTCTCCTACACACGAATGTGAAACCTATAAAAGGAAAGACTTCTCCATCCAGACATTGATAAACGAATAAAATAAAAATCACTAATAACAAAATACAATTCAATTATCCCATAGGCCACAAATCAATGTCTACAGCTTTATCACATGATCACAGTTAAAGAATGTCCTTGGAAACGTGTATGTGTATGTATGGTTCTCACATCTTCAAATACAGTTGCATTATTCCATAAGGTTATAATCCACAAGGAATAAAGCAAGATGCATTATCTGATTGGAATTGACCATCCATAACAAAAACCAATGTCCAATTGGTAGGATTTTTAGTCCACACATATGAATGGTAACAGTAAGGTTGTACAATTTACACTGAAGGCTTAAAAATTATAGTTGCATACAAACCAGGATGGCATGGCATTGCAGAAAAAACAACAAAGATAAAAATACCCTGATAATCTCATGAGCTGTTCATACACTAAAAAGAAATTATCTGTTTAGAAATAGAAATAACAAATCAATGATTTTAGAGTGGGTGTAATGGTGGTAAGAAGAACATATAACAATAACGATGCAAAGCAGTCAGAAATAAAAGATATTTCAGAATGCAATCCCAATAAATAACAATTATTGAAAGAATAAAAACAAAATTGAATTAAGAACTCAGCACCACCTTAACCCACTATTGCACATTGTAATATACAGATAACAAATTTGTACATATACAAATGCTTCAATTCTGTATTGAATGCTCTTACTTTCAGATAACAGTCTAAACAAATCATGAAATTATTTTTGTTGGTTTCTCAATTGAACAATGTTACTTCTAGGTAATGTACTCATTTATAATTTACTAAAATATATTTCAGAAAAACATTTTTTGTGGAATATAGACCTATTTAAGTAAGAAATTCAAAGAAAAAATGTTTTTACACTGTATTATCATAATGCATGCAATAGAAGGTTAAGATATCCGTGAAGCAGAAACTCACAGAATATATTCAGTAATACCCCGATATATATGGATTAGATACATTCATGGAGCTTCTTTCATATATTTTGAGACTTCCTGTATTATATAACTTATAACATTATTACTATGAGGATGTGTTTCCAGCCTTCATAACTTACCATTTCATACTACAAATACTTCATAACTTAACATTCATATTATAAACAAAGATAATTTATTTGAAAATAATATTATACAGTATTTTTATACTGTACAGTATTAAAATTAAAAACTGACATAAATAAAAGAAGCACAGTGTATTGTCACCATAGCTCCATTCAGAGGGGATGTGGAGTTAGTTGTGAAGAGGGCTGACAGGATCCAACGATGACAATGGCTCAGTTTGAGGCTCTTCTTCCTCCATTGGTGAAGAGGAACATTGTTTTAAGAAGAATGAATGAAGTATGGGCTGTTTTTACTCCTTCTTCCACTTCTCACTAAGAATGACATCATAGCAGTTGATGTCATTCATAACAGCCCTCTTGATGGCACTGCTTCACTACAAATTAGGATAATGTTCTGAGAGCATTTCCAATGCACTATAAATTTGATTTAAAGAGAACTTTAGTTGTGAGGTTTCTTTCAGGAACAATTTCTTGAAACTGTCACTGTGTTCTGCAATTTGATGTTTATCCAGTTTCTTAAGGGCTTCTACACTCAGAATCTCCCCAAGAGAAATTAAAAACTCCTGTACGTTTGACGTGTTGACTTCACTATCCAGCTTTTAAAACAAGTGGACTGTGTGCCATTTGTTTATTGAAATCTATTGCCAACAAGTCACAGACACCTATTGTAAAGAATCCTGCTGAACACAAAATCTGACAGCCGAGATGAATGTTAAACAACATACAACCATCTTAATGCTCCACGCTTAAGAATCCATAGCTTACTATAATTTTTATTGTTATTTATATTGTAATGTAGATCAACATCTTTATTTGTTGTCTCTCAAAATTTGCAGTGCATACTGGAAGGATTTACACATTTTGATAACAAGTTTAGAAAAAATGACATTTACACTCCAGATATATATATATATATATATATATATATATATAATAAATAATTATTTATTACTTAACTAACTATTCTACTTGCAGCTTCTATCGTAGGGTTAATAATATAACAACTAGCACGTGGTGGGTAGGGTTAAGTACTAATGATGATTACTATCTAG